CAATTAAAAAGAAAAACGTGTTAACGACTGATACAATTTTGTATCAAAGATAATTTGGTAATAATAAAAGGGAAATAGTTGAAACAGAAATATTGATTTTATACATTAAGAATAATATGGTTATGTTTTCGATAGAAATATCTTGACAACATCTTCTTTTGTCTATTTATCAATAGAAACACAAGGCATAAGTAGATATTTCTACTGTTTATGGATTTAGTTTAATAAAATTCAAATTTATGTCATCATTACAGATGGTTACCTAAATCTATGTATGATTTTTGTTGTTGTTATTGTTGTTGGATGACAACTAATTTGTTTGATTCATTTCGAGAACCCTTTAATGTTTGAAATGAAAATCACTGAGTTACAGATTTAATATGAATATTGATACTATGATATAGGTACATTCAGCTAGCAAGTCTCAGGTAAGATGATATAGACATTTTGAATTCCATCGATAGTCACAATACTTCTATTTTGAAAAAAAAACTAGCGACAAATTGGTCATATCGATGCTATCTACACAGAATCCATATACACTAATAAAGACTTATCAAAGAACTTAGTGGCTTAGTAGTCTAATGGTTAAGTGCTCGTACGCGAGATTGATAATTTCTGCGTTTGAATTTCGCTGGGGGCAGGATCGTGGATGCACACTGCCGAGGAGTCCCATATTACGACGAAACGGTTATCCAGTGCTTCCAGATTTTCCATGATAGTCTAGCTTCAAATGACTCATGAGTTCAACTATTAGAACTCATTTCTGTTTGTCAATAATGAAATCATTCAAACTCTTATTACTAATGATATTCATGATAATTATTTTATTCCCTAAATTCAATGTATCGATTGACTATAATCAAATAACCAATCAAAATTGGGACATATATATATATATATATATATATATATATATATCCAATCAATTAATCGAAGTATTGATTTCTTTCTCAAACATTGCATAATACTTACTAAATATTGTAATTTTAAAAAATACTTTATTATGAAAATCAATAATCAATATTCATTGACTTGTATTCAGTGCATCATTTAAGTTCATGACATGGATACTCTTTTGAAAGATTTTTTTTGCTTTCTGTTAAGTAGTTGCTAATTTTATTTGATTTATAAAGAGTAAAGAGTAAAATTGATCATTGATATTAAAGTGCCTAAATGTTTTGGTTATCTTTTAAGTGAAATATAGATCTCTATTGACAAATGACTTAATTAGTCGTTATGTAATCATACTGAATTATTTGAGTAAAAATTAGAGAAATTATAGTTTTATATCATGTGATAAACTGAATTCCTGTATTGAAGTTAATATAGAAATGTTAAGTGATATTGTAGGGTCGAAATCAGTAATCAATCATTACATATTGAAGTTCTGTAATTGTAATAGTAACATATAAACAGCAAATGCCTTAGAACAAAAATCTGTTTAGTTTTTAAGCTGATAATTATTTTACTATAGTAATATAAATAAGCTTATCATACACTATCATTGGTTCATATATTAAATCCACTACATATTCTATTTATTTGAACACGTTAATATTGATACAAGGAGGCACTGAATACATATGCAACTCACAAGTCACTTGATTTGTGTGTTGGCTGTAATACTGCTCGGGTGCCTAGACCGAAGCAGGTAGTTTTCTTGCGGAAATACACCCGGAGCCTTAGACCTAAAGGTATGATCCACAAAGCAGTGGAGCAACGTCAGGAGATGCAGTCAAACGGTAGCCGGTGATCAACAGTAAATTCATACTCCATTAGTTCCTTCAGGATCGTGGAGACCATATACACCATTGGTTAGGAATAGGGGTTTTCCAACTCCTCTAGGTGAATCCCCCGTGTCCATCAACCCAGTTAAAGCACCGGACATTCGCTTTTCGTCCACTCAAACAACACCCCCATCTCAACAAGGCAGTGAGTAGGACTTCTCTGGCAGTGGATGTACATGTAATCAAGTATGGTCATGATATTAAGAAATATTGGATACAAAAGTCAGCCTACATATTGTTTATCGTGGCTACGAATTGTTTAATAATGATATGTTCAAAATGAATATTGATTTCATTATGAAATCATATCATTTGAGAAGCCATTAAACTAGTGGATAACTGTTTTGTATATACCAGTAGTTTAAAAATCTCATATTTTCTAAGTTCGATTTTTATGTAGAGTTTGTAGTATCGGTTATCGTGTTAAGTCCATGTACTTTATTCTAGCTTTCGGACAGCCCAATCTATTCATTCTACTCGAGTCATATTTTGACCTTGTTTACTATTCGCTTATCAATCTTAACTGTTTATATATGAGCGCACATGTGTGTACACTTCCCATCCCATTATTCATCACATGTGTGTAACTTATTTTTGTGTCTACAAATATTGACTAACGCTTGAATAATGGGAGTTGGTTTACACGCCATCCCCACTGAGCGTCGTTTTGCTTCACATACAAAATATATGTATTCAAAAGTTCATTCTCGTTATTTGACTTCTTTAATTACGTTATTGACTAACGCGATTTAAGTCGATGATTACATACGAGGATATACGACATATATATTTCAATAACAATCATTCATGCGATCAAATTGGAGTCAGATCCCGGGCCACTAAAGCGAAGAGCTCGTCAACAAACATCGTTCGATCTAAATGACGACAAAATAAAGGGTCATACAAGTTACCCATAAAATGCTTAAAAGTCTAAAATTAGATTGAAATAAAGGCCTTTTAAAATTTCTCCAACTGATGTTACTTATTGTCGAATGTTAGATTAAAATATTCAAGGTTCTCGTTTCTAAACTAGAAATTAAAGATGATTCATTTGCATATACATTATTCTGTAAATGGAATAATAATAATAATAATAATAATAATAATCGATAACTACCTGTCTAACTGGTACCACTGAAAGTACATATCTACTTTATTTATAAAGACCCATAAGACACTTGTTTCTAATTGTCACAGAATATTCCGGAACATTCATTATTCTATACATTTTTCCTGTCAAAGTTGTAACAGGTTTTTGTTGTTTTTAAACATGCTTTCTGAAGATCGTTAAAACAAATCGAATACTTTGACATAATTTATTTAGATTAGGAAAACATTGTAATGCGTACGTACTCTTGATTAGTCAAAAGATAATCTAGGTAATTAGTAGATAGGTATCTTTTCCCGGTTTTGCACACCATGGGTCAGTGATTTTGTTAAGGTACTTGAGAATTAAGCTGGTTTAATGATCATCATGATGACCGCAGATTCTAAGGAACAACTCAATGCGACTGTCATGTATGTAATTGATTTTAGATCTGTTAATTCCGTACTTTTCATGTCTTACCTTTAAAAATGCAGGCCCATGGGTCAAAATGAAGTGTGTTTTGTCTTGACTTTGACTTATAACTTTACTCTTCCTATGAGAAGAGGCAGCAGAAATGGAAAAGCTGACTAACTGTAGATAAAAAGCTTGCTGTCATTACGCTGAAAATCATTTGACAGCAAGATGGCAACCAGATCTTCCGTTTACTGCTTTTGGTCTTATCAACCAACGTGTATGACACGAAAGAATGTCAAAGAACAAATGTTTTAACTAGTGTCGTTCGATAGAGTAGACGTAATTGTTGTACCTGACTGCCACACCAAGGTGCAGATACGGTCAGGAAGTTATTCATCAACTATAAATCAAGTGAAATCCGTTGAAAAGTTGACAAATGCAGTCATTCCACTGTTAGTCTATTTTTTTGTGGTTCTCATACCATTACCATGACAAAAGACTCCTAAATGGTAGCTGAATGAAACCAACGAAATCAATGAACGCTTACCACTTTCTGCATGAGTTTTCTTATCATACGTCTGTTAAATACTGTAAATCTACGTAAGTTGTAGGAACAGCACTATAGTATAGCAGATGTCTAGTAGATGTGAATATTGAGAAATGAACTTTTTAACCAATTTTTTCAGAAAGAGTAGTTTTAAAATGTCTGGAACGGCAAGAAGACTAATAGCCACAGTGTAAAATGATCAAAATACTTTACTTCACCTGAAGATACTTTCATTTAGAATGTGGATTGCGAAATTGTTTTGCAGGTTTTCCGTGCTAATTAGTTCAGATGATATTTGGAGAAAATGCAAATTTGTTGTGTTTATCACTATATCTTAATTGAACTGATTCATCAACGTTTTTTAGCCAAATTCAGGTAGCTACTTTTTAATCTTCTAAGTAGCTTGTGGGTAAGATAAATATTCATTTCAGTGAATAAATCACAATGACGATCTAACTTTGATCCTTTTTCCAAATAGACTTTTAGTAAATGTACTTCAAGGAAGTTTAAAATTTGTAAAGATTTGGTTGTTCAAATCAAAGTTGCATAAGTCTAAATAGCTCGATATTGAATTATTGGATCATTATTACCGCTGGAATTATCTTTTACTTGACATTTCTTTGTTTAATAATACCTTCAGCAGTTTAAGAGGATTGAACGGGTTTCTACAAATGGATCTCTCGTAATAATGTTCATGCTGTCGTGCATGCTACTTATGTTAACAGACATTAGTGGTATGTAACATAAATCAGAAGTGAAATGCCTGTCAAGAGAAAGTTGAGAAGATTTAATTGAGGAGGACAGAAGGGGAAACAGAAAGTGATCGTAATAAGGACGAAATTGAAAGGAGCATGAAGCATGTAAAAGAACAACTGGTGGATGTGCGAATCAGATATTTGATATATGGTTTTCAAATATTTCACAAAATCACTCAGTAGTTTGACATTAAATAGTAAATTCAGTTAACTGCACCTTCGTGTTCGTCCACTACAATTCCACTATTTTCAGTTCATAATAGCACTCTACACAATAACTGTCTCAACGACACCACTTATTCCTCACAAAATTATGAATAATTCTTAAATTAATTCTTGTGCTTCGTTTAAGTGGTAAGAAGATTTTGTCACAATCCATAGTACACATAGAATTTTTTTTATCTCAGACTTAGAGCGTTGCATGGTTGTCCGAAAATAAGTTATGATTCAAAACTGGCTAGTGATTCTCAAAAGTGGGCTGAACACTTGGCTTCAACAAATTGTATGCAGCATAGTAAAGCAGATGGATATGGTGAAAATTTAGCATTTCAAATGTCTACAGCCGGTGCATCACTGAATGGTAAGTTGAATACCTATGTAAATCTGAATATCTTTAAGATATTTGAATTATCTTATTAGAAAAGCCTACAGATTAGAATGATGTATTTGCTTTTGCATATCTGTATTTGGGATTGTTTAGAATAACGGCATAATGATTGTTTTCTACAACAGTCCAAACACAAATATATCGTAAAATCTCCTAGACTCAACACATAACTGAATATATTTGTGGTAATGTTAAACATTTGTCAGGCATATATACTTGAGAACAGAGAAAAAAATCCAAGGAATTATATCTGTTGAGAAAACTTGTTATTATAACAGAAAAAAGTCATACAATTAGTTCCATTATTAGATTTAAATAAAGCTAATTCAACAATTGGGGCACCTAGCTTGTCGTATGCCCTAATGGTGTTCTTGTGACGTTCGCGTTGCCTGACCTGCCAATAGCGATAGGATAGTGCATGATGGTATTATTGTGTGCTAATTTCAAAGAGGATTGTATGTTATATACATGCAAATCCGCCCCGTTATTGTTCCTATTCAACAATTGAGACGGGCTAAAATGAATTAATTTTTATTTAGTGATTTCACTTCAGCTGCTTACAACCGAATTTATATTGAAACATAGCAGGATATGACACAATACAGATTGCGAATTTTTTAGAAAAATGAGATGACTATGGCTATCAGTATCTATATGTATCGTTATTTGAAGATGGAAATCGAGACATACACAAAGGGGGGGGGGCGGAAGACGAGTCAGTAATTATCTTGGAATTGATATTTGATAGAGTGAATTATTGTTATATCTGGAAGCTTAGATTCTTAATACACCGCGTATGACTTGAGCATTCGAACACTAGAACCCTCCCAAGTTGTAAATGAAAAAACGGAAGACGATTAAAGAAAGTATGTATTGGGCAAGGATCAAAATGTACAGAAAACCATGGGTATTTATAGATATTAGAGGTCGTTAAATCAACATTATAATTCAACCAGTCTTCAAAGATGCATGTTATGCTACTGACCATTAGTAGACTGCTACGATGGTATTCTAGAAAGCCCCATTACGTTCTGATTGGGTGGACACTTTGGCTCTTCTAGAGCCTCTAAAGGCTCCGTTGTAGTTTTCGGAAGCCGTCCCAACAACTATGTTACAATCCACGAGTTCTCATAAGTCCGCAGAGTTAAACGAATTGATGCGTAGTAAGAATCGGCTCAGCAATGAATACAGAACAGTTGTACCCAATAATAAAGAAATAATAATATTGGTAATAATAATTAGTATGGTTGTATTTGGAATTATGAATTAATCAAGTCAGTGATAAACTGATGACTGTCTCTTTTTGAAAGTATAAATCTGGCTTGGTGTCTTTTAATCATAATTGTTTCGGTAACTCATCAAGAAGATGCATTCTTTTTGTATGACGATGATTCTGAAAGACTGGAAGACGTCCCGTATTGATTAAATGCCAAGTAATTAGAATATTTAAAACTTTCACATCTTTTAATCTCAAATTCTTCGAAACATGCTCGAATATATAAGTATGTACACATCCCACCGTTCTTGCAATTTATGTGATTTGGTACGTAAATATCGATCAGTCTCATTTAACTAACCTTAGACAGGACCTAACAAGCTTCATATACTCCGTTATAAGACATTAAATATCTAAAATCAACTAGTATATACTGGTACACTGTTACAGATTCATTTATTTAGTCACTCGTTTTCAAAATAACGATTATGATGAAGGATAGTTCTCTTATAAATAGATGACATTAGTGTATTATTACATACATAAAAACATATTTTGTTAATATTCCCCTTTGAAAGGTCGTGAAGCAACTCGAAATTGGTACGATGAAATTAAGCAACATGATTTCAATGGACAAAATCAACCTGGGACAGGTATAAGACAACCAAAAAACAATAGTCCATTTAAAATTTGTTTTTATTTCTTAAATTCATTTATTACCTTCAATTGGTGTTGTTTACTTCCATCTCCCGATTGTTATTTAAAGCTTCAATTGATCAGTCTCTTGTTGGCATATGTGCATCCTGTACGGACTGTCTCCATATTTCCGAAGTCACAAGCTTTATAACCAAATATGGACAGTGGCTAGCAGTTGAATCTAGGACGCACGTTTCGTCCTGTTTGGGACCCATCAGCTGGATGTATCTGCATCTGATGGGTGCCAAACAAGACGAAACGTGCGTCCTAGATTCAACTGTTAGCCACTGTCCATATTTGCTTTCATTTGTTACTTGTTAAATTTTAGCTATTTATTTTATCAGATGAAGAGTAACAGTAATTGGGAAATTCTTCAAATATCCAATAGTATCCAGTCAGTTTGTGATGCATCGCTACCATTTGCCTGCCTCACAATATCATAATAGTGAGATAAAGTTATCAATACAAATGTCAGAATAGTAGTAAAAATTATGTCAGTAGTATTTTAAGAAAAAAGATAAATAGTAGCTAGCAGTGAAATGCGCGTTTTGTCCCATTTGAGACCCTTTGGCTGAATATATTTTGATTCAATCCCATTATCGTTAGCTTTGTCATCTTGTTCACTTGTTTATGTAACTGTCATCAAGTGAATTTTATCTGATTTATATATGTTATTTGAATCTTCCCACTGATTTTTAGTACTGGAAGTGATCAATGTTTTACCATATGTACATCCTATGTGGATTGCTTTGCTATTGACTTTAATTCATAAGCATTTTTAGACATAGATGGATGGTGGTTAGTAGGAAAGGTTAGAGACAGACAGCATTATTCAAGAATCAAGAATACACTCATCGAATAAAAAACACAATATAATTTTAAAAGCTAAGATTTAAGAGAAGACGAAGAATAAGCAGTCCCATGCTACTGTGACCGGATCATAGCCATCTCTTCCATTATCTCAAATCGTTTGTTTCGTTATTCATGAAGTCTCCGACAACATGGTCTGTATCCACAATTTTATCAAATATTCACTGACGTTTGAATAATAAAATCTAAATATTATTAGGTTCACTTATGTGCAAACACAAGTTATCTTGTTGATCTTGATTTCGTGAATAGAAGTCACAGTTTATTCACCATAATGATTGAAGCTTTTTGTTTGTAACCAGTTTAAACTACTTGATTTTTCAAGAAAGATACTTTATTTCATCTAAAAACTCTTTAATTGTCAAACTCTACTGTCAAAGTATATATGAAGTTCTGATTAGTTATAAATATAAAAGAGAAGGACAAAATGTCAGCGAGTTTTCAGAAGTAATACAGAAGATTTTGAGGTAATAGGGTCAAACTGAAAAGAAAATAATAGTTTGATGTTTGTTATAAGTTAACAGCTCTGTTCATGTTAATGGAAGGTCAATTTTCACTACTTAATAATGATAAGTAGCATAAAGTGCAACACAAAAGAAATCCTCAATTGTTTGTTATGAACTTGATTCATTGTGGTTCACTCTAATATACCAAACCAAAACCATATCATGAAAATCGAGGTTTGAGAATGATGCTTCGACATGTCAAACTTACCAAAAGAACAGCGACCAAGAATACTTGAATGGAAATGAAAATACTACGGTTCACCTGAACGAAAATATTGCTTATAATTGATTAAAATGGATTTTCAACGTGCCACATAGTTTTCAACATGTAAATATTTACATGTTTAACTGAAAATGTATACACTTTCACTGGATACTCACGATTACTTATTTGGGCTTAGCGATGAAAAATTAAGATGTCAATGGATATAAACGTCTATTTACTATAAAGTATTTAAAGTTTCTTGGTGAAATACAATTGAAACAAAGATATACTTCTACATGAAGTTCGTGCTGATGATGTCGTTCAGAAGAACGATGAAAGCTCCACGACTAAACCATCCAGATCAGAGAACAAAATTCAATCACAATCACCCATCTAACCTACAAATCTTCTAAATCATCTCAAAATCATATGAGCGTAGTACATTTCTCGTTGTTCAAAAAAATAGGATAATTTCGCCTAAAGGCAGACCTCCATTTGAGAATGATCGTATTTTCTCCACGAGTGTCTTCGTCACCATGTCCTACCAACAAGTACAGAGATATTTTAATGCTTTATTTAGTAACATCCCATTCAAACTTCACCATGGTTTGGTATTCAATTAGATTTGTAGGGAATATAATAAGTAGTATATTACTAAAAATAGTTATCTCATGATTTGTATTATCTAAAAACAAAGTTTTTTTTTCAAGTTGTTCAAGAAATAACGTACTTTGGAATAACTAGATAAACACAAAACTACATTAATATGTAAACAATAGAAAGGATATTAAAGGATAGCAACGATTATAGATAAGTGGTTAGTTAAATAAACACTACAGACTTAAAATATTTGAAATTTTTGTTTATTTACATAATAAAGTACACTAAATTGAATTTGTCAACAATTAGTTCTGATGATTTGAAATTCAGCTTTAGTTTAGTTTTATTCATTAATGTCAATGATTCATTTGACAACTGGATCTCAAACAATGTTTGAATCACATTTAAATAATTTAAGCAATCTAGTTTCAACAGTAAAGATTGTTGTAGGTTTGTACAGATTTCCGAAGCATTCTCTTATTCACTTTTGAATGAACCGTACTATTATTTTGGCTAGTTTACTGACTATGATTAGTTACAAACAATGCTGGATAGTTGTGAATGGAAATAAAATGTATATTTAGTTCATGATGACATAATATGCTTCAACAACTGGTTTCCTCTTTAGTACAAATTTCCTCTCTATTATATTATTCAAGTAGATTTTAATCGGTAAAATGTCCATATATTAACTGATTGATTTATAGATGGAATCGTTCCGGTCACATGTATGCAATGGTTAACTAGCGGGATTATAAGAACTCATAATGAGTGAATAATATTACTGTAATTAATTTATCTGCTTACAAGTTAATCCTTTTTACGGACTTGTTCCGACTGAAAATTTCTCTACGAACAAGGTGACGTTTATGCTTGGAGCTATTCAACAGTGTATACCCAACATTCTATGCTTGATTCCTAAGTCTTTTAGCATTCTAGCATTTTGTTAATCAGTGAACAGAAAACTGAAATATCTTCTCAAAAACCACTAGTGCTGATTAATCTTCTACTGGGATTAGATAACGGTCATTTTCATCAATTCATTGAGTAAACTTACTCTGTACTACAAATCATAATCTCTACAAACATCTTATACCAATAACAGTAAATGATTGATTCGATAACCTTCACTAGTATCCCTCATTAAGTTTCAGTGAGTATGTGTAACCTGATAGATAAACGAGTTAGAAATTAGATAATGAATAAATACAGATTGTATTGTGGTGCGTGCCACTCATTTCCACGGATATAAGTAGTATGTAACACTAATGGAAAATGGAATGCCTGGCAGCAGAAAGTTGAGAAGATCGAATAGAAAAGAACAGGAACACAGAGTGATTGGCATGAAAATGAAGGGGAGAAAAAGTCTGAGACAAGTGATGGACATTTCGCATTTGAAGTATTGAACGTATGGTATTCACATTTTACCATAAAACTCGGTGATTGTGCATCCGAATACACATAGTTGTCACCACTTGCGTTCTCGTTCACTACAGTATGACTACAACTGTCATCGAAAAAAGGGAATTATAAAGTATTTTCAATGTTAAGTTAATCTTATTTTTTTTATCTGACATCAGGACATTTTACTCAAGTAATTTGGAAGTCAACTAATAAAGCAGGATTCGGTTCTGCATTCTCCAAAGATGGAAAGAAAGTGTACGTAGTGGGGCGTTACAAACCAGCCGGAAATATAATTGGTTATTATGCAGATAATGTACCGAAACCAAAGAAAGCGCCTCCACCAAGTAAGCAGAAATAATGACAATAATTTATATCCATTAGTGAAATTATTAATTTATAACACACGAGTTGTTACAAAATATGTGTTTAGATTCCCATGATAGTGAAGAAACATCAGTAAGACCAGGGAGTTCTTTAAGCTGGAGGTGTGCTGGTGAATCGTAAACTCCTTTTCTATTTTAATCCTTATCTGCACAAAGGGAAAATTTGTTAACAGTTACTTTCAAAAATTAATAGACTCCTTGATAAATTACTGATCTCTACAATGCAAAATGTCTCACCCTATTTGGATCTTATTCACTTACAACTCCATTAAACCTGTGTTTAAGATAATTCTTAGTTTATGTTGTTTAGTAAAGAGGATAGATTCCTGATCACTATAGTGTTAGTCAAGATGTAAAGAACATGAGACAACTTTAAACGTGTTTTTGAATTTAATAATCAATTTTCTACACAGCAGTGAAGCTGAATAAGATGTTTCTAGTTGCTATGATAAGATCACCAAGCGAGAATTCAATAGTAGCATTTTGTCATTTACCTTGAAGAAGCTAATAGAAAACAAGTCATTTGGATTTACAAGGGTCGTATTTAAATCGTCAGCAATAAGCAAAACAGGCTTTTTTAAGTTCTTAAAGTTTATGAAAATAGAAGGCATACATAATAGGATGGGGCAAATGATATATTTTAGGAACTTAATTGAATATAATGTAATAGGTAACAGATGTCCTTTGAAGTTTCCCACAAACATCATCTGTCAATCGCTCCGTCATTAAATGATCTGTTGCTTGATTTAGCTAGTAACATGATATTGGAATTCAAAATCTATCTGGTAAGAAGGAGGACAAATTTCATAGGATGATCTCTTTTGTTGAATAATCAGTACTTATGAGTTTAATAGCAGGACTTAATTCTCAAATCAGTGAATCATCCGTTAATTCAATAAATTCATCTTAACGTCAACACATTCGCTGACTCATCACAACTTTGAAGGATAATTTCACTTCGAAGAACTCTGTCTTGCTGAAACATGATGACATTAACATTTATATATCAATCAATTCCAGAGATGAATCACACCATCTTGTAAACTATGGAAACTCAACGTAACCTAAATTTCAACTAGCTTGCCCATCAGTTAAGATCTTGACGCTTATAAAAACTTATCTAGTCTATATTAAGGTCAAAACATACCGTTTTAGTTTTTACAATAAGTAAGAGATTTCTATATGGAAAAATTCAGAACTAAATTTAAATGGTAGACTTATCTATCACTGCTTAATTCACACACTCCTCATTAACTTAAAACATTTTGAGTATATCCTATAATAAATTAAACTGATATTTTCTGTTAGACCTATAAAAGTACCTTACTGTTTGTTTATCATACTGAGTGATAATAATGTTAATTTGATTATGAGTGATTATCTTAACTGGTTGGTAGAATGGATAAATCAGAGGATAGTTCCTTAGGAGGAAGTACGAAAGGATCCAGTGGCAAATTACATGAAGTTGACTCTAATCACACCATTATGAGATGGTAAACAATTTCCGTATAATCTACTTTGAATAATATAGAATTCATGAGTTAATGAAAGCCAGACCACTATCGACAACCTGGAAGCACTGGACAGTCGTTTCGTTTTAGTATGGGACTCCTCAGTAGTGTGCATCCACGATCCCACATGTGAGGCTCGAACCCGGGATCTTCGGTCGAACACGCTAACGCTTAACCCCTAGACCACTGAATAAGTGATACTTTGGTAATCAAAAGTGTTTATATATTTGAATAGCAAAAACAATCTTTAAGACCAGTATGATACTACTCACAGATTACTTCGTTAATTTCTTAAATAATTTTTTGAAAACCGTTTTAATCACTCTAAGGAATATCGTAAAAGTAATTCAAATGAGTGATCCCAGTCAATGTTTTCTTTTAAAAATCTGACCTAAGATACATCATACTTCTTTATTCCCATAATGTTCTGGCCTTACATTGTTTGCTATAAAAAAAATGCTGTCAGAACTTAGTTGTTTGAGTAGGCAAATAACTCACCTTTATGTGAGTTAGATAACTATGGTTTATAAAAGTTGTAAAATAAAACGTGGTTTTAGACATTGTATAGTGAAAGATTATGTATAAATGATGATTAAATAAATTCAATCACATATAGTTTTCTTCCTTAGTTCAGTAAACTTGTGTAAATTCGTTACTTGTACAGATAATAATCTGAAATAATGAAGCGATATTAAAGCACTTCCCACTCCCATAAAATGAATGTCTACACATATATCAGACATAATTGTCTTAAAGTGTGGTTGAAATTTTAGTAACCAACATGTTAGCTTTGTTGTTCACCGAGATGTTATTGTCATCATAAAAAAGTCAGTGTAATAATTGCTTTGATTAATGATTTTTAGAAGAGTTTCATAAGCGCTAATGACATTTTGTTTATTTTTACTGTTGATGAGGAAAAAACTACTGAGATTGATGATTCGCTAAATGATATTAAAGCGATACTTCTTTTCCAAGAAGAGAAATTGATAATGTAAGGTAACTTCATTCATAAGCGTATGCAAGTATGTTTTGAAAGTTTGAGTAAATGTTGATAAAAAAATCATTTTGATGAATGTTTGGCGTTTCTAGAGTAGTGATTATGAGTTAAATATTGCTTGTTAATTTTCGTAACTTAGTGAGTGAAATTAATTGGTTTTAATTTATGAGTAGTAATGTCCGTAACAGGAATACAATGGACACGATGGATGCAACTAGACGATTTGAACTTCTCAGATGTCTTAGTCCTTCGAGATCACACACGAGCAAATGAAGGTCAAGACAACCACTGTAGCGAAAACCTCTACATTAGTAGGCCTCAATATACACAAAGGAAAAGATAACAACAAAAATACAAAAGAGAGGACGCTAAGCCAATCAAACTTGATGAAAATACTTTGGAACAGATGGACACGTTCACTTACCTGGTTAGCATCATCGATGAACGTAAACGATCTGATGCAGATGTAAAGACGAGGATTGGAAAAGCAAGGGCCGCATTCCTACAGCTGAAGAACAAATGGAACTCAAAACAACTGTTAACCAACATGAAAGTTGGAATCATCAATACGAACGCTAAGACAGTACTGTATGGAGTTGAAACATGGAAAACTACTACAACCATCATCAAAAAGGTACAAGTATTTATAAACAGTTGTCTACTCAAGATACTCAATGTCTGTTGACCGGATTCAATCAGCAACAGTCTACTGTGGAAGAGAACAAACCAACTTTCAGTTGAATAGGAAATGAGGAAAAGACGATGAAGGTGGATACGACGTACATTACGGAAATTACCAAACTGCATCACAAAGCAAGCACTTACGTGGAATCCTGAAGGTAGACAAAAAAGAGGAAGTGAAATCAAGCATGAAAAAAAAGAATGACAACTGGATACAAGTGTAAAGGATTGTCCAGGATAGAGTCGGATAGAGAATGTTAGTGGTCGACCTGTGCTCCTCTATGAAGAGCAACAGGTGTAAACGAGCAAACATTAAACGTTCATGATACTATGTAGTTGTTATTGTTATGAAAATACAATATAATTACCTATCCATTTCGATTGTTTGTACATAAAATTATCAACAGTATTCAATTATCATAAATGGGAATTGATAGGGAGCAAATATTTATTATCCCAGTAACAAAACACAAATATATAACCTGTTATTTTAAAAGTTAACGTACTAGAAAGTAGATAATTGTGTATTTATATATTAAATTAACACTTAAAAGTGTTATTATTATTATTATTATTATTATTTGCAGGAGATGAATTTAACAAAATACCAGAAAGTAAATGTTCAATATTGTAACTTGTATCTGGATTGGATCAATTGTTAAATACACGTTATTAATAAATGGATCACGATCAAAATATGACTACTCATTTAAAACAAAATTATATATATATGTATAAGTATCAGTTGACTTTCTTTCACAATAAATGAAGATTTATAATATGATGAAATGAATACTTGATAGATCTGTTTGTTTAATGAATTCCTTTATACATGTTATTAAAAGTTTATTTTCTCATGATATAGATTTGTTTTGTTTTCATTTACCGTTGGGTATTATTTTGACAATATACTACTAAATGATTCAAAAAGAAATCAATTGGATCGTTTTAATAATGATAAATTACTGATGAGTCTCAAATAGGACAAAGTGCACTTTCTTAATTTTGATTGAGGTCATGAACCGATTGATCTTAGACCATCGTTGAAAACCTGGAAGCACTGGACGGCGGTTTCGTCCTATTGTGGGACTCCTCAGCAGTGCGCACCATCATCATGATCTCAATCAAAACTTAATGATCTTCACAACCCCTATACTGATAATTACCATGTGCTCACTAGTGACTAGCATCGTGAGAAAATTCTCAAAGTTCTGGTGAGAAGCCGTGGCCAGTGTGGCTAATCCGTGTCGAGTAGAAACAGGTGTCTACCTCAGTACAATAGAAGATGGTTGCGCAACTCCATGCATTGCTTGAGATTAGACATTAACACTGTAGGACGCTGGTTCAATGGTCCAGTAAGTTAGGCGTTAGCTCACGAGACTGAAGGCCCTGGGTTGGAATCCAACGATCGTGATAGTGGATGCACACTACTGAGGAGTCCCACACCAGGACGAAACGGCCGTCCAGTGCTACCAGGTTTTCAATGGTGGTCTAACATCAATCGGTTAATGATCTCGATCAAAAACTTAACAATCTCCACAACCCCCATACTTACTTTTTAATTGCTGATCATCCATCGATTGCGTAAGAAAATCATGTTTTATTTTTAAAGCTTTCGATTGTTAATACTTAAAAAATTACAAAAATGGGGATTTGTGCAGACTGTAGTAATTTAAGTAGTTGAATTCATGAGTCAATCTAAGCTAGACAACCGTCGACAAGCCGAAAGCAATAAACGACCGTTTTTCATCCTAGCAGGAGACTCCTCAGAATTGCGCACCCATGATCCCTTATACGAGACTCAAACCAATGATCTTCAGTCCCACACATGAACGCTTAACCTATAGACCACTGAGCCGTCATCAGATGGTGTTAATGTCAAAATGATGAAATAAGAAAATGGACAGAATCGATTATTTTTGACTCTCTGATATTGATCATTAAGTAAAATATACAACTTGAAGTAGACTTATTTCTTAATAATTACGATAAGTATCAAGCATTACTGTTCCCTATTATTTCTTCTTGAACTATTGTGAAGGGATTATGCTGCGTTGCATAACACAATGAAGTGTATTTGTTGAGTGAATTTTGAAAAACTATCATGAATATGGTTGTGGATAGACATCTGAAATTTCGTAACCAACTGGAGTGTGTTATTTTATTAAATACAGACTATCTATTCCACCCACTTCTGTCGCTTTATATATCGTGTGACAAAAAGTGAAATAAGTACAATAGAAGTCGTGGATGCGAAAATATTTTCAGATACTTTACAATATCGTATTTAACATGTAAACAATACTGCTGAAATATTGGATGAGTTGTTTTACTCAGAATCCCATCCTCTCGATTATCTAATTTATAAGTGTTGTAGAGATGTTTTACTTTTATAGAAATTTCATTTAGTTTTACACAATTTCATTGACTTATTTTTTATATACATAGACAGGAAACGCTGGACCTTGGTTTCGGTCCGTTTGGCACTTGTGTGAAAGGTGTATTTGCAATCTCTAGTGACCTGATGCTCTGTGACAGATACGATGCCGTGTAGCTCAGGTTCAGAGTAACACCTTACTGACGAGTGTCAAAAGACATGAAAGCTATATCCATTATTTTCTGTCTACTACCTCTAATCAACACCTTACATGTGTTGAGATAGCTTGCGTGAATGTGTTTTGTTGTTTGTTACTGTAATCACACATCAGTATAATTTAATGCATTAACTAGTTATCGCATGAACACAGGACATCAGGTTGATATCTTAAAATATTTTAAGGGGCATTAATAAACAGTCAAGTTTCAGTCTTTTGACGTTCACTGACGCCATCTCTCGTAGGCGCTCTTTCAGGTTAGATGTATATTCACAATATTCTATTTAAAAAGATTAAATTTATTTACACTCCAACTATACTATACTGATGCATGATCGTATCAATTTCCAATTAAACTCCTTCATGTAATTAATTTCAAACTATTTTGTAACTATAACTTTTAAATATTATCGGTCGTAAGCTGCTGACGAAAATCAAACACTGCCTCCAAGTTATCCACGGTGATCTAGCTTAGATCGACTCGTGAATTCGACTTTAAAAATACTACCATCTCCACATATCCCCATACTGAATATAATCACGTGCTTGCTAATGACTCACTTCAAGATGGAATTGCTGGCGTTCTAGTGAGATGCTCTGATCATTGGAGTCGAATTCGTGTCGTGTGGATACAATTATCCACCTCAGACAATGGATGAAGTCTTGTGCAAGATTACGGATTG